ATAGATAGATAGATAGATAGATAGATAGATAGATAGATAGATAGATAGATAGATAGATAGATAGATAGATAGATAGATAGATAGATAGATAGATAGATAGATAGATAGATAGATTGATTGCAACATTAATGAACATGAATCTCAAACCAGATGTTCAGATGATTTTAGCAGCTTCTCTTCTTCACCTTCACGTTGGACTTTATTTGCCGGATGTCACAGTTTCTGTGTTCAAGTCTTTTAAAATCATTCATGAACTCAAATATTGAAGCTTCTGCTGAACGACATCAAAAGACGGTGTTTAAAAGGGTCCACAGTTTTCCAGATGTCTTCATATGAAATCTTAAAGTGCGGGTACGCACTCAACACAAACAACTGTGATCTTCACGCCACTAATCTGAGCACGAATACACAAACATCCGAGTTGACGGACTTCATCCCAAACCATTCTTCCACTGCTGAACTCTTTTCAGTCCCTGCTGTTTCAGAAGGTAAACAAATGCACGTGATAGTTGGCAGCTAATGCTGTCGGTTGCTTTTTATTTATTTATTTATTTTTAATTGAAGAGCATATTAACCATCGATGGAAAAATAACGTAAGGATCATACATCTTAATGTTGTCGTGATGAGCATTAACATGCTGGTGTTTACTGGCTGTTTGCGCGCGCTTGGCAGGTGAATGAGGCATTTCGGTTTTTAAAAAGTGGCCCACGTGTCTCCAGGCAGCAGCGCAGGTCAACACTGATGAGTTTTGTTGTTCCTCCATTTTATTTTCTCTCTCTTCTGTTTTTCTTCCTTTTTTCTGGCTGCGTGAGCTACCGCGGTGACAGATGGCGGAGCCCTCCTCCTCCTCCACCACCTCCACCATCTCCTCCTCCTCCTCTCTCTCCCTTCCTTCTTTCTCTCTGTGTCTCTCTCTTCCCCCGGGAGGGCAAATCTCTCCGAATGCGGGCGCATGTCAATCACCGGGCTCTCATGTGATGGCTCTTGCCGGTGACGTGCCAGCCATATGGGCACTGGCATCACAGCCTTAGCTGGTATGTAACCCCGTCCCCGGTAGCTCACGGTTGCCATACGCGCACTGACACACACTCACGCACACATCTACACTCCCTTGCAGATACACACACAAACGCGCCAAGACGCACAAGCTCGGGCTATTGAAGTGAACGCGCCTTGAGAGGAGGACCAGTGAACGCACCATCAGCACCAGAGGAAGAGAGCCGCGCGCGCCCTTGCACCTGTACGCAGATAAAGAGCGCAGGTTCGCTCGCTCGTGCGTCCACGAAGATGGTTTGAAAGTAAAGCGCGTGGGTTTTTTCTCGTTCTTCCGCCTCCAACCCGCTGTGAAGAGCGCAAGCAGAGGTAAGTTGGAACAGTTTGAGAATAATAATAATCTGGCAAAATGGAGGATTAATTAACCCAATTAACGGATGAGCAGGAGTGTTTTAACATGATTTGGTTTATTGTTCTGAGAGAATGTAGCCGTGTGGATGGGGACTTAAATAATTCGCTGTAATTTGTGGAATATCCGTTTGGATAATCTCCTGGGCCACTTTGTTCTGTCACCTCGCAATGAAGTCGCTTTAGATTTGCAGCGCGTTGTTTGATTTCTTGCCGCAGCTTCTTTCTCCTCGCGCTTGTCCTTCAACTTCACCCGGCGCTGCCTGGACCGACAGCTCCAAGGATTAAACTAGTCCAATCGAACACCCCTCCGGATCATTTAGAGGATTTGGAGAGCCCCTGACAGCACCGGTCTGGAAACGGATGGACACTGATTGGATCCGGATTCCTGCGCGCGGACGGCGGTGGTCTGACAAACAAAAGACAACGCGGGGGACTCGTGACGATTTCCGGGGAAGGTGTTGAATCGTCTCAGAGCTCCCAACCAAGGACGTCCTGGAGCTCAGAGGAAGATTTTATTGATCATCTGTTTATTGATCATCTGATTTGTTCGGATGAAAGGGCGGGACAGACGAGCGCGCGCCGTGATTGACCTCGGTTTGTTCGGTTTTACGCATCACATGGAGACAGTTGTCGTCTTATAATGATTTATTTTTAACGAGGTCTAAAAGGATACAAGTGATTTCCATTTGTAGCCTTTGATTAAAAAAAACGGGGGCTTTGGAATCACGCGCTCGTGCATGCAGAATTATGTGTGAAATGTGTTTCATGTAAGCTGCATGCTTTGTTAATTGATGTTTCTCCGTTTGAATGCGCAAACCTCCCAATCCCGAGGTTTTAAAACTAGATTATGCCTCTGGCACCCCCCCCCCCCCACTCCCCCCACCCCCACCTCCACCATAATTAACCAACCATCAGAGCGCGCGAGCGGAAGAAAAGGTGAAGGTTTGCTGGATCTATTGGACGATGTTTGCTTATTGGTGGTCGGATGATCAAATTATTTTACAATGTTCAAGAAAAAGCTTTGTTGTTTTTAGGAAACACTTAAATAGCACATTTATTCGTTTATTCACATTTATAAGAAAATTGTTTTACATTGTATTTTCTACCTGAGGACCCCTTCTTGTCCAAAATGTTTGTGAGCCCAGATTTAAATAAATAAATCAAATCTCTCTTTTCTTTTAGCCTTTGGTCTGAGACGTGTGAGTGCTGGAATGCAGTCAAAAGTGTATATGGGCGTCAGGAGGAGTGAAAGTGGAAGGGGGGGCCCATGGGACCTGTAATGTGGCCCCTGCCGCTGGGACCCGCAGTGAGAGGACGCGTCAGGGCGCGCGCGTGACCGCCGGGAATTAAAGGAATATCCGTCCGACTGTAAAGCAGCGGAAAGCTCTGACAGCTCATTTATTTATCTCTTTTGTTTTTAATGTTTGTCTTTTGTGACCAAACATATAATTCAAACTCACTGAGGAATATTTTAAATATTTAAAATGAAGTCTTTTAAATGTTGGTCCCATAGCGACATTGATCCTCCCTGTTTGTGATTTTTAGCTCTTTAAATTCTAATAGTCTGGTTTATTCTTTATTTTTTTTGTCTCTGCAGACTCGTCATGTTGACGCGGCTGTTCAGTGACCCCTCGCTGCTTCCGGAGGTCCAGAAGTTTCCCGCCTGGGCGGAGGACAGCGATGGAGAGGATCACAAACTGAAGGAGGAGGACCAGGACGCGCAGGACGACATGGACTCCTCTGATCTGAGAGGAGACAGCCGGACGCACTCCGAGCACGCGGGGGAAGACGACGAGGACACCGAGGTGGAGGAAGAGGACGACGAGGAGGACACAGAGGGGGACAGGCCCAAGAAAAGGGGCCCCAAAAAGCGCAAGATGACCCAGGCCCGGATCGAGCGCTCCAGGCTGCGGCGGATCAAAGCCAACGCCAGGGAGCGGACCCGCATGCACGACCTGAACTCTGCGCTCGACAATCTGCGTAAAGTGGTGCCCTGCTACTCCAAAACGCAAAAACTGTCCAAAATCGAGACGCTGCGTCTGGCAAAGAACTACATCTGGGCCCTGTCAGAGATCCTGCGCTCTGGGAAGAGGCCCGAGCTCGTGTCCTACGTGCAGACGCTGTGCAAGGGTCTCTCCCAGCCCACCACCAACCTGGTGGCGGGGTGCCTGCAGCTCAACTCGCGCAACTTCCTGACGGAGCAGCAGTGCCAGGAGGGGGGCAGGTACGGCTCCGGCTCATTCTCCATGCATTCTTACCCGTACCAGTGCGCGCGCCTGTCCAGCCCCCACTGCCAGCCTGGCTCGAACTCGCTGAGGTCGCACGGTTATTGCTCGGCCTACGACTCCCTGTACGGGGGGGGCGGCTCCCCGGAGTACAACAGCCCGGAGTACGAGGGGCCCCTCAGTCCGCCCTTGTGCATCAATGGCAACTTTTCCCTGAAGCACCAAGGCTCCGCGTCCCCCGACAACGAGAAGGGGTATTACTCTATGCATTACTCTGGCCTGCCTGGCTCCAGGCCCGCCGGGGCCCACAACCTGGTGTTTGGCTCCTCGGGGGCCCGGAGCGGCATTCACTCTGAAAACGTCCTGCCTTACCACGACATGCACTTACACCACGAGCGGGCCCCCGTGTACGACGAGCTGAACGCGTTTTTTCACAGTTAAACGTGCGTCACCAACAATCTCTCCACCGCACACTTTTTGGACTTTACGCACCAGGATCGAATGGCATTCTGGGAAATCTCTCACTCTTCGTTGTCGTTGGTGTTTTTGTTTTTCCTTTAAGCTGTTTTGTTCTAGTCAGGGATGGGTAACACAATTTACGCACAGCCCTGTTTTGCGCAATAAAAGCTGTCCATCCTCTGAAGGTGACGCAAATGTGTGAAGGAATCACAAACGAGGACGAGACGCTTTCAAAATGTTGATATTTTTGTGGTTTGTTTGTGGTTGTTTGCGTTCTGACTGCAGAGTTTACACTTTTGGATTTACGCAGATCTGCGTCGCTACAGAGCGCAAACCTGAAGGATTTCTGGAAGAAATTCAAAATGTCACCATGCACGAGTCAAGCGAAGATGCAATATTCAGATGTGAAGAATAAAAAAAGACGAATGAGCTGAAAGAAAAACTGAACTCAGAATATTTTTAGCTTGTTTAGTTATTTTAAAAATTTTTTTTTTTTAATCTGTCGTTTAGCATCTATGCAAAACCCAAGGAGGTCACACTGTATGTGTCCATCTGCACACGCGCATACACACACACACACACACACAACCCATGGCAAAAATGTTCAGGCCATAATCTTAAAAAAAAAAAAAGACGAAAAAACGCCTCAAATACTTAAAAATCAACCCCTGAGGACTTATTTATTTATATATTTATTTGTTTGTTTGTTTATTTATCTATTTATTTATTTATTTGAGCCATTGCACTGTATATTATTTAATTTGATTAAGTATTAGTCAATTTGATTAAGTATTTTGTGTTACAATCTGTTCTGCAGAATCAGGTTTATTATTATAGTTATTATTTTATATTATTACTATTGCACGTGTTTTACTGTGAATTTTTCTTTTGTAATAAATGTTAATAGTCGACGGAAATGAAGGGAACCCGGAGTTACTCAGCCCCTTCTTTTTTCTTCTTCTTCTTTTTTTCATAAAACTCAAGCCTCGCAACTTTGTACTCAACCAACTGTGTGGTGAAAATAAAATAAGAAGAAAAGACATTGTGCAACTTGACTTTTTTTTCAGGTGTGCTGGTGCTCAGTAGAGCTGTTGCCTCTCGGTGTAAAGGTCGCAGGATCGAATCCTGGCCTTTCTGGGTGGAGTTTGCATGTTCTCTCCGTGCATGCGTGGGTTTTCTCCGGGTACACCAGTTTCCTCCCACAGACCAAAAACATGCATGTTAGGCTGACTGGTAACTCTAAATTGTCCCTAGGTGTGAATGAGAGAGTGAATGGTTGTTTGTCTCGTTTGTCTCTATGTGTCCCTGTGATGGACTGGAGACCTGTCCGGGGTGTCCCCACCTCTCACACAGTGACTGCTGGTTATGGACACTAGGACATAACATAGAAATAAAGAAGCTAAAAGATAATGGATGGATGTTTTCTCAAGCAGAGACAGGAACTTGGATGGTGTGATGGTTGGATGCATTAATGATGTGATGGTTGAATATCATGATGGTTGGATGGTGTGATGTTGGATGCATTGATTATGTGATGTTGGATGGTTGGATTATGGCTGAATGGTATTATGGTTGAATAATATAATGGTTGAATAGTATGGTTGGATGTTGTGATGGTTGGATGACATGATGGTGTTATGTGTGACAGGTGGCAGGTGTGATGATAGCATGATGTTTGGATTGTGTCATGGGTGAATGTTGTCATGTTTGGAAGGTGTGATGGCTGGATTGCATGATGATTACATGGTGTAATGGTTGATGATATTAGGGTTGAATGGCATGATGGTCAGATGGCATGATGGTTGGATGATATAATGGTTGGATGGTGTGATTGTTGGATGGTGTGATATTAAATGGGATGATCATTGGATCTTGTGATGTTGGATGTTTGGATTATATGATGGTTGGATGGGGTGATTGTTGGAAGGTGTGATGGTCAGATGGCATGATGGTTGGGTGATGTGATGGTTGGATGGTGTGATTGTTGGATGGTGTGATGTTGGATCATGTGATGGCTGTATGTCTGGATGAAGTGATGGTTGAATTGCATGATGACTGGATGATGTGGGAGGGAAGAGGAAGTCTGATGTCATCATCGTATGTTCCCATACAATGGTAAAATTAGTTCTCTGCATCACCACGCCTGAGATACACCCAGGTGGAGCAGTGGGCAGCTATGTAAGTGCCCGGGGAGCAACTGGGGATTAGGTGTCTTGCTCAGAGACACCACGACATGTGGGAATGGCTGGGAGTCAAACCATGACTTTATGGTCCAAAGTCAGCTGCCCTACCTCTAGCCCATATTGGCCCACACGTGATGGTTGGATGTTGTGATGTTGGATGATGTGATGGTTGGATGTTGTGATGGTTGGATGTTGGATGATGTGATGGTTGGATGGTGTGATGGTTGGATGTTGTGATGTTGTGATGTTGTGATGGTTGGATGGTGTAACGGTTGGATGTTGTGCAACAGCTTGGTCAGTAGCTGCTTGGATCCTTTCTCTTCGCAAATACCGGAAGTAGTAAGCAGGAAACAGGAAGTAGGAAGTAGCGCCTCGGAGCTGCTCGACTCTTTTCCCTCGTCTTTTAACTCAAACTGTTAAAAACTCATCAAAGTGAAATCTCTTTTATTTAAATTAAATCTTCTTTGATCTTCAGCAACGACTGATGTGACGTGGAGGACGAGGCTTGAACACCTCTACATTTTAAATTAAATCATTCTAAATTGTTATAGCTGCAAATAGTTTATTTTTATTTTTATTGACCATAGCAGATCCGGCACCTACAGTTTGATCCAGGAGCTGTTTTATTTATTTATTTATTTATTTTTAATAAATAAGATTTATTATTTAATTTATTATTTGCGTCAGTCGTTTCAAGCCCTGCTCCATGCGGGGGTCAAAAAATATCAAATAAAACAAAATCCAGTGAAAATCAAGCAACTGTCGATGCCTCACAGTTTACTGACATTAACGATCATTTAATCGTGACGTAACTGAGTTATTGTTAAGGAAAATATTGATCAATTTTCCAGCAGCGCCTTCACAAAACTCGCTCTCCAAACAGGCGCACTCAGAAAAGGCGCAGAGCTCGATCCCCGGCAGTGACGCACGTGTCCCCCCAAAAGGCGGTTTCCTCAGACGTCACGTGTTTTTATTTCTCATGTTCATAGTTTATGTGAATTAATGGTTTAACTTTATAAACGCAGACATTTATGTGAGAGGGGAAGCTAAAGTTTATTTTTGTTGCTTACGAAAAATTATTTTCTGTCTTAAATCTTTTTTTCCAGCTCGTCCTGATTTAATTTCTTCATTTCGGATGGACACCTCGAACTTGTTGTAAAAAGAAAAGTCGCCTCTTGTGAGTTAAAGAGGATTTTTTTGGAATAAATTTAAAATAAATTAAACGTAACAGGAAAAATTACAGCAATAAAAGACGACGTGGACAAACAAAACTCTCTTTTGTTGAATAGCTGGATCAAAAAATAAATTATTACGCATTTTTTTTGTCATAAAAAGTCAATTCATTTAAAAATATTCAATTTAAAAGCATCAATTGACGATATTAAAATTATATTTAATTATTTAGGCAGCGCGTCCGCAGGAACATTTTCTTTGAGGTTTCAGGTCGTGTTTGGTTAAACTTTAATATTTCTTATGATTTCTTGTTAAAATAAGTTTTGTTGGTTAAACTGTGTTTTATTGAGGGGGGGGGGGGGGGTACAACATGTTCCACTGGGCACCTGTGAGAGTCCTGCTGGGACTCAAACCCCCCAGGTTCGGCTGAAGGTCCGAGGCCCGCGGTGCTTTTATTTCATTTATTTTTTGTTTTATGTAAATTATTTTTTTTGTTTCAGCAGCAAAAGAACGAGCGGGAAAAAATGGAAAAAGAGGATTCGGTCCAAAGTGAATCGGGTCAGCATGAGAGGGGCATCTATCAGAATCCCCTCCTCCTCCTCCTCTTCCTCCTCCTGCCACCATTACGACCAGCAGCACCTCCTCTTCCTCCTCAGTCCGGGGAGAGGGAGGAAGAGGAGGCTGGCAGGCTGGCGGAGGAGCGCGGTGCCAAGTCCCTTAATGTTCCGCAGCAGCAGCAGCGCGAGCTCCGTGGAGGACAGCCCGGGGTGCGCGGTGGTTCAGCGGGCCAGAGTGGCGCTGCTGGGAGGGGTTCGGGTTCCTTTCCTCTTTTCTGCAGCATCTGTTCATTACAGGAGGTTTCAAATCATACAAAGAGCGCGCATCCTCAGTACCCCCCCCCCCCCCCCACACACACACACACACACGAGCTCATGCCTGAAAGAAACGCGCGTGTTGCATCCCATGTCACACTCGCGCGCGCAAAATCACCGTATTTCCCTTTAGTTTGATCAAAACCTAAAAGCAATTGGCAAAAATGTTGAACCTTTGCAGAAAAGAAGAACCTCTATCACACACGCACGCACACACACGCACACACGCCTCCAAAAATAACCGTGAGCGTGTGTGACGTCATTAAAAACATGCAACATTGTCAGATGAGACGAAAAGACAAAGATGTGGAGGTGAAACTAATTAACAACTAAATCACAGATGTTCGGTGAAAAGATTGATCCTGTTTATTTTATTTGTTGTTTTATTTTCCGTAAATCAGAGTAAGTTGTGTTTACATGGAGTTTATGAGGAAATAAATAAAATATGAATATAAATAATAAACTTCCAGTGGCACATGAGCGGGCAGCACGGTGGCGCAACTGGTAGAGCTGCTGCCTCTCAGTGAGAAGGTCCCTGGTTCAAATCCCGGTCCAGGGGCCTTTCTGGGTGGAGTTTGCATGTTCTCTCCGTGCATGCGTGGGTTTTCTCCGGGTGCTCCGGTTTCCTCCCACAGACCAAAAACATGCATGTTAGGCTGATTGGTAACTCTAAATTGTCCCTAGGTGTGAGTGAGAGAGTGAATGGTTGTTTGTCTCGTTTGTCTCTATGTGGCCCTGTGATGGACTTGCGACCCGTCCAGGGTGTACCCCGCCCCTCGCACAGTGATTGCTGGACATGGGCACCAGCGACCCCCGTGACCCAAAATGGAACAAACGGGTAAAGAAAATGGATGGATGGATGGATGGATGGCACATGAGCTCCACTCAGGATGAAAAGTGCGTGAATGAATCTCGCTGTTTAAATTATCGTGTTCGTGCCCACTCATTTTCTCACTCAACTTGGTAAAAGAGAGAAGGAGAGAAGGAGGGAGGGAGAGAAGGAGAGAAGGAGAGAGGGAGGGAGGGAGAGAAGGAGTGTTTGTCCGACATAACAGTCAATAGTGCGATTGTGAAAATGTCACAAGTTCTGGTGTGAAGTCCAATTAAAATCAAAACGGAATGTTTCTGCAAAGATCTGATCCTGCAAAATATGAGCGCTAGTGTGCGTGCGTGTGGTACGTGCACACAAACTCTCCACATG